CCCAAGCGCATCCCAAGGCAAGAGAGTCCCTGGTCGAAAAGCCGCCTCCAGAAACAGAACCGCTTGCCGAGAGCTGAGGGCAATAGGGGTCACACTGTTACACGGGCTTTAGGGATTTAGGGGTTTAGAGGTTAAGGAGTTTAGGGATTTAGGGCTTTCAGTTGCAAAAGGGTTTAGAGGTTTAGGGGTTTGGGGGTTTAGGGCTTTAGGGTTTAGAGGCTGAGGGGTTTAGGGGTTGGGGGTTTAGGGCTTTTGTGGGCCACGGTACTGGGCTTAAAGAAGTTATAAAGGTTCTGCCAAGTTAACTAGAGGGTTGACGGCGTAAGTGTTCCCGGTGTGGGGTTTTTAGCCGATCTTGGAATCAAGGTTTGGAGTTTCAGGGCTTTGGAGTCTACGGCTTGGGTTCAAGATGAGCTGCGCAGACTTGGCTCGAAGTGGCGTTTCAGGGCTGATCTTCAGCCCCTGTGTGAATTCAGCTCAGTTTGACTGTAGAGGGGCCCTAAACCCTAAACCCGTAGGAGGCAAAAACCCTACTGTAAACCCTCAGAAGGGATTGATTTGGGGTTCGCTTGGATAGACTTCGCCCGAGCTTCGGCGGTTCATCTTCGGAGACTTCGCCCGGCCGGCCGCAGAACCCGAAGCGCAATCCTCGAAGCAACCCTTGCAACTCGCAGATTAGGGTTTAAGGTTTAGGGTTTAGGGTTTAGGTCTGCAGTACAGGTTGAGCTTCAGTATGCAGGGCAGTAGAGTTGAGGTGGGAGGGTTCGAAGATTCAGGAAACAGGCCCTCGGAATTTCGGATCTGTGAGTTTCTCGTCCAGACAGGGCAGAGCGCGAGGCTTTTACCCCAAACCCCCTGAATCCCTCCCTGACGCTGGCTTCATCTAACCTTTTTTGCGGCCGCAACCAAGCATCCAACAAGTTCGTCGGTGTTTCTGCAAAGGTCCTATGAGGCCCCGATGAATCAACAATTGTCATCGTTTCGAAGGTATCTGCTGCTGCTGCTGCTAGGGAGTTAGACAGATGGATTGAAAATACATGGGTAGATGAATACCTAAACAAGGCCTAGACCTTGCCTAAACCCTGCAAGAAACCTCACATGCACCTCTCGGGCCACGAGGTCCCTGCAGCCAGAGTCTGAAAGAAGAGCGCCACTGCCACCTGCTGCTTTCATGTGGCGGAAGAAAACAGAGCAGACCGGGAGGGGGCGTCGGGTTTGATGGGCGGTAATCTCATACGATAACTTAGTGAAGAATGGGTTATATACGATGTAGGATGTAAAACCGTAGCAAACGGTAATCGCAGCAGTGTCCCGACAACACTACGGCCTTGGTTCTCTTCAAGCAGTTCTTCCGACTTAGTGGTTTAGAGGAGGGTTTTTTGGGTAGAGGGCGGAGTGGTTTGATGTTGAGGACATGTATCCATATATCTTTTTCTGCCCGACCGTTAAGCTTCGTAGGTTCTGGCCGATGTGACGGGTTTGGGGATTTCCGGCGTGTAAAGTTTGAGATGTCCGGTTTCGAGTCTCAAGTGTTCTGGCTGTTGTGCCTCGTGTTTGACTAACAGGATTCCTTGCTGGAGGTGTGGCTGCCAGTGCTCCTGAGCTCAAGGCCTGCAGTTTGCGTACTGCTTCCCCTTTCCCCTGCCCCATTCCCCCAAGCCATGTCTACACCACCCTCAGCGCCCTACAGTAGCTCACACCGCCTGCGTGCATATCTCTGAGCCTTCAGCGCTGCAAAGCCTTGTTGCCCAACCCCAGCTGGATGAGCCAACCTGAACATGAGATAGATAGCACAGACACCTAACACCGTAACGGAACTCCAAAAGGTTTCAACAGCAACACCGAGAATGTGCAGCCCTGCGAACCTGCGGGACCGAGACCCGACATTTGCGTTTGGAATTTGCAAATTCTCCAATTCCTTGAAGAAGACTCGGCTAGTTCAGGACTTCAGGAGCCCGTAGTCAGAACTGCACTCTTCAACTAGAGCTTGCGATTTGCTTCGAGCCATGGGCAAGAAGGCTGTAGCCAAGACCGAAGCCACGGTTTCACCGCCGGGTTCGGAAAGGTCCAGCAACACGAGCCCAAGGTGTCGGGGTTTGGGTTTCCGCTTTTCGGGTGGCCTCGGATGGTTCGGTCCCAAGGGTTGAAGATGACTTCCAAGTTTCCCTAGCCCTCCAGGTACCTACTATATAGGGCCCTCTAGTACCCTATATAGTGGGTACCTGGGGGGTTAGGGTTTGAGGGGGAACCCCTCAGTTGACAGTGGGCGAGGGCAGTAGGCCGTTAGTTTGAGGTTTGAAGGTTGATTTGTTTTGGGTGCCCCGAACCCCAAAGCACCTTGGACCTTGGACTGTTTTTTTTTCAAGGTTTCTCTTTGGAAGTCAAATTTCGCCCTGAGGGTTTGAGGCTTCAGGCACTTGACGGTTTTCTGGATCAGGGACTCCTGGCCTGAACCCCCGAGCTGAGCTTTGCTTTCGCAGGCGCGCACCTGGACTTTGAATTTCAATCCTAGGTCTACAGGCGAATCGAGACCTCATGGATGACATTCGGCTTTGCAAGGGTGGCTTCCCTACAGCCGATAGTTTTCTGCATTCAAGACTTCGGGCTCGATGGGCACTCAGGGCTTAGTGCAGGATCCGCTGCACTTTTGGAAACGCTGCTCTTCCAGCCTCCTTCTCAAGAGAGCTTCTCTTGGACTTGGACTCCTTAGATGTCTGAGGGGCCTTGTTCGAGGATGCGAGCTCGGACTTAGCTCGACGAGAGCCTCGAGGCCGTCTCTTCATGGAGGACGTTGCCATGGCTGATCGGGCTGGAGACGGTTTGAGCGGCTGCTTTAGGCTTTGGGGATGCTGAGGCTGCCGTCGTGTGTGGTTCATGGGGAATCATGGAGAAGCGGTGGGGGCTCTTCACTCTTCGAGTCATGGGTCTTGGGTGTTCTCCGTTGCTTTTTCGGCCCGAGATTGGGAGTGTGGGCAGCGAAATGGACTCGCTCTGTTGCTGACATCAAGACATGCCGGCATTGCCCCTGGGCTTGTCAACCGAGCGCGAGGCAGAGGATAGATCTCAGTGAGTTTGAGCATCGCTTGCTGAGACCCGCAAGAGAGGCTCCTTGCTGGGCCGAGGTGCAACGCAGTGGCTGCCATTTTGGCGCTGCTGTGTTTCGCGCAGCTTACGCACGAAGGCCTCCCGGCTGCGCTTGATGCTCAAGGGCCCAAAATTCACCAGAGGCACTTTGTTTTTCACTTCCAAGCGATCCCATGGCCGAGGCTTCGGTCCAACCCGCAGCCCACGCAGGTTGAGCTCGTCGGACGAGTCAGCTCCCAAGGACTTGGGTAACTTCCGAATTCTGGCAGGCTAGGGCCCCTTCTGTCAGGCAGCGACTCTGCGAATGCCGGGATGTCTATGCTCAGGCAAGGGTTTCCTTCACCCCAGCCCATCCAATCCAGGAGCCTGGCCAGGGTCATGAGCTGGAGTTTGCCAAGGCCGAGGCCCATTTGAGAGTTGAAAGCTGAAAAAACGTGCTGAAATAGGGGGGTCAAGGAACTTCATGCTTTCGGTTTTGATTGTGCGACATGCCCGCATGATCCCGCTGAAGGAGCTAATCACAAATTCCTTCTTGTGGGGTCTTTGACCGGCGACGTGGTGAGGTTCAACAGGTGCAGGGCTCGTGGAGGCGTGAAACTCTCCTTGAATCGAAAAGAAGCTGGAGACAAGCCCTTAAACACCAAAATCCTTGATAAAGTCGAGAGCTCGATGCCCCCTGCCACTTGCGCGCCCTGCCGGAGGCGCATGGAGACTTCGAGGCAGCGAGGGTTGGGAGGAGTCATGTAACCCCTCCCCGGCGACTTGCATGGACTCTATGGAAGCCGAAACAAAAAGCGTGTTCGCCGATGCCAGATTGTGTATCTGAGGGCAAGTAAGTCTCTTAAGTACCCTCTGGCTGCTCGACCTTTCGCAATGGGACCCAAAACCGAGGCAGAGCTGGCACCCAGGGAAGTCGCGATGAGCCCGAGTCGCCCAGGATGCAAGCAGTACAGGGCCAGTGGTTCGAGCCGCATGTTGATTTGATTCGAGAGTTTGCGGAACTACAGGCGTGTTGGCAACCCCTGGCAGACCACGGAGGATGGCGAAACCTGATGAGGCCCTCAAGGACCCGAGACCAGAGTTCGGAGTGCTCTTTCAGACTTTGGGGCCCTGGGTTCATCTCTGCGATGCCGAAGCTCCCGAAAAGTACCGGGTGTGCCGTGCTACTCTGTCGCCCCGTGCGCGCCGCCATCGCCACTTGAATCAGCCTGCCGATGTCTGACTCAAAAGCGCGGGACTTAGTCGTAGATCGCCTTTCACGTCTCGGTGGTAAAAGGTTCGAGACCCCTTAAGGCTGTAGATCAAGAGAAGTGGCGAAACCCTGGTGGGCCCCAAGCCCTCCATGCCCCAATCATCCTTACCAAAACTTGAACTGGTATCGACACGACTGATTGATTCCTGCGGCTTGATGACAAGGAGTCTTAAACCTGAGCCCGAAGGTCTCAGCTCAACTCTCAGCTCATCTAAATTTCAGAATCCTGGGAATAGATGCGTCGGAGGGAGGTAGCTTGGCTACCCATGCAGAAACGTGCGCAGATATAGTCTGTGAGGACCCTGGTCAGCCCGAGCTCACGCTGCCGCCGAAGGCGAGGCGAGGGAGGGGCTTGCCGGTTCAGCTGCCGGTCTCAGCGCTCCGCTTTCGGTTTGTGACTTCTGGGGAGCCGGGGTTTCGCCGTAGCTCCCGAGTCCACGAGCTAGCAAGGTTCTGGCTTTCAACCTCTGCCTTGTGGCGACGGCATGGCTGTGGCTGGCCATCGGATCCACGGGGTGCTCGGTAGAGAGAGGCTCCATGGAGACATCTCCCTTTGGGTCGCGGCAGTGCTCTACTACCTCGTGCTGCCGCTGAGCTCCCTGTTGCTGGGCTTCACAGCACCTGCGAGGATGGAGCTCCGCTCCTCGCGTACAAAGTGTATGGCATGTTCCTCCTGGCCCACGCAGGTCTCACCGCATGCGCGATGTGTCAGGTCGGCTTAAAGTTCTGGGAGTTCCCAGGCCGAAACCCGATGACCTGGACGCCGGTGCTCTTCCTTTTGACTTTGCTGGAACACATGGACATGTTCACCGATGCCCTCTTCGTGGGCACTGCGGCCGCCTGCAGCGACACAATCGCCGACCAGTGCCCCTGCCGTGAGACATAATTAGAGACATGAAAGAGAAAAGAGAACAAAACAAAGAAGGAGAGTGAGAGCACACGGGGAGCCCGAGCTGAAGGAATCGTCTCTTGTCTGTTGTGCCCGGAGGTTTGAAAAGTCCTGGGCCGCTGTCGGCAGGGGGGGGCTGGGGCCGCTCATGGCCAAGCTAACCTTCGGCGGTCGGGGCCTCGTTGGCTGGAGGCACATGCAAACGGAGACTTTCCATGCCTCTCAGGCCTCGCCTTCTCCTTCGTGTTGGCCGCCTATCTGCCACAGCTCGTCTACCTGCCTTCTCCCGCTGTGCCGCTCTTCCTCCCGGCTGCAGGGCTCCTACTCGGGGCTCTCGCCATTGGCTACTCGAGCTGGGCCGTGGGAGTGGCGATGGCTTTGCCCTTGACTGTTGCCGCCATTAACTTCGGTGAGAGGATGTGGCGAGGCAATTTCACCCGTCAATTGGAGGACCGGAAGGAGGGGGCCTTGTGGGTCGGCATGGTCGTGTTCCAGAACTTTCATTACATTGTTGGTGATGAGGTGCCGAAAAGTGTGCGGCTCGTGGCTTTTGGCCTTGTCCGGCTTCTTTATGAGAATTTGCTCCAGCTCTGGCTGCAAAGCAGCTACTTTGCCTTCACCTTCGAGGCCACGGGCGACACGGCCAAGGCAAAGATCTTGGTCTCCCTCGCGCTGGGCCTGGGAGTCAGTGTCTCCAAGCTGCCGGAGATGTTCAGTGCATGGTATGATGAGATGAGGCTCCCTGCAGACTGCCGCATCACCGTCTACGAGACGCTCCGTCGTTGTGGTGAGCCGCGTCGCGACAACATTTGCCCGTGCGTCTCCGTGTTGTTGTTCTGTCTTGTAGCGCTTGGCCCGGTGCTTGCAGTCGCCGCGAAGGTTTACTTCGCCTACGCTTGCCCAGACCACGTTTGGAACATCCTCGGCGGCTGTGTAGTCCTAGACTAAGCGCAGACCGGCACGCCGCCGAGAAGAGAAATGCAGGAGCACGGAGGTGCGTGGAGTTCGCGATACTAGAATTGACCAGGCCTGAGGGCAGTTCTGCAACTCCTCATGAAGTCAACCCTAGGCGCCAGACTCCAGATAAACCTAACCCAGCAATCCTTGTGACTGACAATGACATGGGCTCTGGGCAGCGCCCCGGGAACTTGACGGGTCTAGCTTGAATGCAGAAGCTTTGTTTTCAGAGAGGTGTTTCGCTTGTCCTGGGCTTGGGGTCTCTGATGAAACTGCCCGTACGGTGACATGCACGAATTGACATAGTGTCAACGGTACCGAGGCACTTGAAGCTTCTTGTCCGCGCGAGTCATTTCCGACCAACTACATGAAAGATAGCCCGACAAGCCGGAACCCATACCGGAACCCTCCTAAACCCCACCTACGCCGAACCTCAGGCTTTCTGTCTATCTGTCCATCTCTCCGTCCGTTTGTCTGTCTGTCCGTTCATGCGTCTATGGATCGATTGATCCATGCATGCATCTATTTATCCAACTACCTAACTACCTAGCTGCTCGGCTGGCTGGCTGACTGACTGACTGGCTGACTGGCCGACTGGCCGGCAGGCTTTCTGGCTGACGAATTGCCTGACCGAGAAACGCACTAAGTAAGTATGCACTGGGCATGCACAGGGTGCGCGGGAAGTGCGGCGCGCGAGGACAGCGAGGCCCGGAGTGCGCGGTGCGACGGTGGGGAATGCAGCAAGGCGTGCTCGGTGCGAACACAACTCTCCTGCTTGCTTGACAATGTGCATGATGTTGCACAACAGAACTCTCTTAAGACGACATGGTATCATGAAATACTCAAGTCCGAGGGCCGCACGCAGTTTCCGGCCGAAATCGAAGCGATCAGAGGTCCGAAGGTCAGGTAGAAGGGAAAGTTGTATGGGGCGATGATATAGACGATCCTCGGCGCGGCGGGCTCTGCCACGGCAAAGCATATGTGAATGATCGTCTGAGTGAGACAGGTTCGCAAGGGCTTTGCGTTTGGAGCGTGAGGGGCTTGTGGGGGTTTGGGAGGAGCTTGGAGCTCCGGCGGGGCAGAGCCCGACCTGAGGCAAGTGCTCCACTTAGAATCCCCTCCGGTCGGTCTTCAGGGTCGTGACAGTCACGGCACAAGTCTGGGCGAATGGGCTGTCTCTGCTCCCAACGGTGTGATCATATCGGAGGGCCAAGCTGCCCCTTCGGCTCTTTCCGGATCCACGAGGACGCCGGCTGCAAGAAGGCCGGGGTCGACACACTGCAGGGCGCAACAAGTCTGAACCTTCTAGAAACCTCTCCGTCTCTCGGGGTTCTCAGGGCTGCCGCTCGGTGTGGACGCGTCGGAAAACTCGGTTGCTTGATCGGTTGTTTCCCGCCTCGCGGATTCGTAAGCTTTACGGCAGGTTCTCCTACTGAAATCGAGTCGTCCCAGTCGCAGCCAGCCTTTCGGGTCTCATCCAGTTGTGGAGGTTGGAGAGCGCATACTGCACCTGGCTCTCTTGGGCTCAGTTCGGCTGGGCCACAAGGGTGATCTTGTTGGAACTATCATTCATCCTCTGGCCCGGCAGTTCAGGCTGAAGAAAGTTTCAATTTGTCGGCGATCTAAAACTCCATGCTGCCCCATTCCGGCAAGGACATCCCATATGTGCCTTCCCTACCCCACCTGAGGCTGCACATGTCATGAGGCGTAGGATGGCGTAGGCCGAGGTCCAACACAGTCGGCTAAGAGTCGAAACTTCTGAAAAGTCCTTCCGTGCAGCAGATGCCTCGGCCAGCGATGCGGTCACATCATACAGGGACGACTCCGCCTGGCGGCAGATAGTGCTGGCTTGGTTGTTTCCAAGCTCGTCTTCATTCGATCCGTCTACGTCCCGATGTTTCAACAGACTCTCTACCAACACCACTCTGGCTCCTCGGGTCGTCTCAAGTCCTTGGCGAGGGCCTCCGCGATCTTGACTTCCTTGCGACGGCTAAGATCTCCGATGCAATCTTGTGATCCGGTACTGGTGCGCGTGGTGGGCGCAGGGTCAGAGACCACTTGCTCCATACTTCTTCGTAATGAAATAACATTCTGTGTGGGGACGGGCAGCAGACACACGCTGGCTGAGTTTATTCGGTGTTGTGCATCTGTTCTGGCGAGCTGTGCGCGACACCCCTGAAGATCGCACCGTCACCTGACTGTCAGTCCAAAGCGATCCCCCACGGTAAGAATAAACAAGAGTGTAAGAAGGCTGCGAATCCGAGTCCACGGACATGCGCCCAAAGCGGGCTGCAAATGTCATGCTGCACAAGACAATTAACCAATGCCCCGATGCCTCAGCATGAAGCATTCTCTCGATGGCCAAGAGCTGTGATCTACGCCACTCATAACTCTTCGTCCTGCACAGGCTCAATGGATGGCTTCCCATGCTTCTGGGCGCAGGATCTCAACCGATGGGGCGAAAGATGGGCAGGACAGCCCAAGGGGCGGAGACATCGTAAAGCATTGCAGTTCACGCCCCAAGGCTGCAAGCAAGCCATCGAGGATTCCCAAATTGCGGGCCTGCCAGACCTGAACGTCTGCCGGAGCACCTTGTAGCCCTCGTCTAGGCTTTTGACCCACCTTACATTCAGACACTCGCAGCATCCACAACACAAGATGGGATCTGTAGCATCCGTCTCTCAGACGAGACGCACGAGCATGACACTTACAGGAAACGTCGTCGAATTTGGAGCCCCCGACATATCGGACAAGCAAAACTCCTGCAAGCGAGGCGACATTGGATCCAGGCTCCCAGTGCAGCGGGCGGCCTGCATTTTCTCCCAACCTCCGGTGCGCGACTAAGTTCGGGCTACAGGTATATGACTTTTCAGGGATTTTCAGGGTGCACTGGCAATCGTTTTGGAGGCAGTCAACGTCCATTTGATGCCTTCGACTTGCAAAGTCTGAAAGAACGATTTTGCATTGGTACGAGTATCTGGTTCCAGGCCACTCTACACGCTGGATTGGTGCCGAGAGAACGATATCCTAATAAGGAACCGTTTCGGCAGGATGCTTACACGGATACCGATTCTCGGAGGACCACAAGTCACTACGAGGACCTAGAGGTTCAGGTACGAGTATTAGCCCGCATCTTCCAGCCTGCTGTCGTGGAGGCCATCTCTGGAGATAAAGACTAATGAGAAGCGTAAAGTCTGAGTCTAAGCCGGACGGCTGCGGCATGCAATGGCAAACAGTCCTAACCAGCCGTCTGGGACTCTTCGGAACCGCCAGGAGTCGAGAAGGCGGAGCTCGAGCTGCTCTTCGGTGCTCGGCTTTCGGTCTGTGCCTTGGCTGGGCGCGGGGTTCCCAGCCCAGAGCCCGCCCCCTTCTTTCTGCTCTAACCCTGCGCTATCCAGCTCCAGAGCTCTGGAGCCTATAAGAGGTGCTGAACAGCAAGACTGGAAACGATGAGGGAGCTGAAGCAGCACGGAAAGGCGAAGGGACTTGGCCCTCTCAACCTCTGCATCCACAAATCTGAATCTGCCGAAGCGTATAGGTCGATACGACCTAGGAATCCACCGCCGTCAGGTTGCCATGGGCCGGTTAGGGCAGCTCCTGGGCTTTCGGACTTTGACAACGAGCAGGAGGAAAGTCCCCATGTAGGGGGTTCAGACTGCCTCTTGATCAAAGCTACTGACACTCACACTCGGACACACCTGTCCAAACTACAATTTGACTTGCTGTACAAATTTCCTTACGGCATAGGCTGGCTCTGAATGCGGGATTCGAGTTGATCCCAACAATCATCAGAGCCGCACACACAGGGAAGGGCTCTGGCCCAGAGCATTGAAGGTCGTCGATGATTTCCGTCGGGATTCGCGGTGCTCTGTCAATACTGATTGAACTGATGCCAAGCAGCTGACGAGATGAGCCCATGCAACCATCCGACGCTTGGCTCCCCAAACCAGCACTACGTAGCAAAGCAACTTGTATCCCTAAGCTCCCTCAACCACGAAACCTTGAGACCCCTCACCCGTTGCTCGAATGTGAAGGCATTCAGCCAGGGTGCTTGAAATGCAGTCGCAGGGATCCCAGCTCCATGGACTGCTTGCAGTACTTGCACTCAACCATGCCTCAGCATCTGAGGACACATGCGGTTGTGTCACATCCATAGCCTTGAAAAGTACCCCTGGGCTTCGGCCGAGGCAGGTAGGGCTACGAGGGCAACATCAACTCGGAACGTGGGTAACGTCTGAGTCGGATCTCTCATTGAGGTCTTGGAGCTCTGAGCAAGCTGTTGGCCAAGTCCCTTTCGTGAAAACACATACGAGCAGTGACATGCTCCGCTCATATCGCCAAGGTACGCAGCTTGCACTGCTTCGGGTGCGTGGGGGGCTCCATACAGCCGCACCAGGGGCACTCCTGCCTTGGCAGCAGCAGACGACGAGTCACAACAACAAGCGCAACTTCACCCATCACCACAGACAAGGAAAGGAGTCATGCGCACGACAGAAGCAGACATCTGATTAGCAAGCCGCACCGACATTAGGACAGGAATTCCCAACTTAACCACTGCCGCCGTTAAAAGGAAAGTGGAGGAGTGCAGCGTGCGCATGATTGGTCTCATCTTGCATGCTGTGCACTGTAAACACTGTAAACATGTTTTTTTTGCGGGCATCCGGCTAACAGGGTACTGGTGTCAACATGCAGCAAATCTGCAACGCGTGGTCTCTCGGAACTCTGAGATGAGTCCCTCTTCAGTCCAACAAGTCACGGCTCTCGTCTGGCCTTCCAGCGCTCGTGTCCTCCAATGTCCAAAAGGACAAAATCCGGCTTGTCTTGTTGCCCACTGTTTGAGACTCCAGTGCACTGGCTGCTTGACAGAACTCAAACCTATGCTAACTGCTACCTATGGTGTCCTGAAGGTGATCGCTTGGGGGAAGGCGCTGAGATTTGCCTGAGCTGAAGCGTTGCTGCGCTGCTCTAAGAGTTGACACGGCAACCGAGTTGTGGTATCGATAGTTAGCCCATGCTTATTAAAGAATCCGGAGTGATCGACCGCTGCACCACTATCTCACCCTGCCGCATTGCTAAAATACTGTGCTCGTTGTACTAGGCTACGCAGAGGCATCACTCCTTTTCAAGTTTCCTCCCGAGCTGAAGGCACCACCAAAAGCACCCCGGCCTAGTGAAATCCAAGGCCTGGTCGGCAGTCCCGCTTGTAGAATCTTGTAAATGTGGCAAGCTAGCAGCTAGCACGCCGAAGATCTGCAAGAGAGATGTGCTTCTCGGACGGAACAGAAAGAGTAAATGTAGGATCATCCCCCCGCCCCCCTCCCGCCTCTGAAGAAAACTCACGTCCAAACTCGAAGCCGCACAAACCCACCGGACGGCGGTGACTCGAAGCATTGTCTTTCCTTTGCAAAGTCGGGTAGCTGCTCCGGCTCGGTCTGCACATCCACCCTCATAGCGCAGAGAAAGAAAGGGAGTAAGCTGAGTAAGTAGGCACTCTGCTTCAATCTCGCTTCGCTCTGTTTCTTCTCCTGGTCTCTGCTGTGCTAGCGCCGCCAGCGTGCACTTGCAAGTGCATGACTGCGATGTAGCTCAGTTCTGCTGAGAAAACGAAGAAGGCTGAAGTATGCTGTGAGGTGTGGAAGGGATGCTTTCGGCACACACCTGCGCTTTTCTAAGCCCAGAACCTTACACAGCAACCACCGTGCGTTTGCATGCACAGCTCTTGGCAGATCTTGTGTGCTTGTGAGTGCTTGTCAGCCTGTGCCTTGAAGCCATGACTGGTACTGTTTGCGCTGAGTTAGCTCTACTGTATGACATCATTTGTTTATGTATTCTACTCCGACTTCATCGTTGGCCCGCTGAAGTTTACCGGCTACCAGATCCATGGGACATGAAGCAAGACCCAAAAGGTTCAAGTGTGTCTGTGTGTGTGTGTGTGCGCGCATGTACGTCTGCATGATTGTTAAATACATACATACATCCACACGTACAGACGGACATACGTACATACATACATACATACATACGTACATACGTACATACGTACATACGTACATACGTACATACATACATACATACCTTGAACTACATACATACACACAGGCAGGCAGGCATGCATACCTGTGCTCTGCACTACCGGCTTGCGGCAAGTGCATGCATGCCGCGATACCTGTACTAACAGCAGCCGCTAAGTGGACACGTGAGATACCCAAGACAACAACCTGTACTGTCGTGTATACAAGCAACGACACAAACGAGAGCACGGGAAAGAAAACACAAGTCAGACTGCCACATATGCGCACGCAACCATGCGTATGCCTATAAGACAAGCAGACCCGTCACCAGTGCACATGAAATTGACAGCGCGTGCGCGAATTGAGCACTAGCCACAAATACATGGACTTTTCCATGTATCCTACAGTCAACCGTGTCCTCCACCTTCGCCGAGTCACTCCGGCGGCCTGGCGACCAAGCGCCGAGGTCCCGGAGGAACCCTCGGCCGCCTCGGCCTCGCGGGCGCCAGAACCTTGAGCTCGCCTGAGTTCTTCAGCTCTCAATCTACGGTACTACACAGGCGAGTCTTGCATACACAGGCGAGTCTTGCATAGCACCTAGAGGTGTCTACTACAACCTGACAATATGTGTTACCTATTTTCGTACCCGACCATAGCAGTAGTACACACGGACACACCTTTATAACATATGCACATAGTTGTACATACATATTTACATACATACTTACTTACTTTTTTTAGCACTCACACTCGACAAAGCAGGCGAGGCTTCAGTACACAACTCGGTCATCAGCCGAAGCTCATTGGCTCACGCACTAAGAGTTCTCCAAAGCACATTGGCTCCGAACCCGCTCCCACGCAGAAGCGCAGGAACAGAAGGACAATCCGATATAGCACACCCCTAATTCACCCAAAAAGCTTTAACACTCGCTCCCACAACTCGCATCTCACACCCGCTCACACCAAAAAGTGTGCTGCCTTCCTTCCAAACTCAGCAGGCCTAGCAGCAGGCCATCCACCCGCAAGCTCGGTACTTCCCATTCTCCCAGTGTTCTCACCGGTAGCAACCAGCCAGGTATCGCCGAAGGATTGCAGGGAGCAGTCAAGCTGCCCCCAAAGAAGCATGCATCCAGGGCATCCCAGCCTTCCCAGTGATCTCTCAAGCAGCCAAAAGTAAAAGGGTGACATGGCTGCATCGCCAGTATCACTGCTTGTCAGCTTGTCCACCGGCTTTGGCGTAAACGTAGGCTTCATGAGCACAGCTTGCCAGCCGCGCAGCCAGCGCTGTGCCGGCCAAATGTGGTCCATCATATAGAGCCAAGGAAGAACCATGGCCGCGGCGAGTATGCGGAAATCCGAA